CGACTTTATAATCTTTACTATGTGACAACTCACAAACGTGCTAAGCAGCGTTGGACAGCTCAGCACTTGCAGTCAGCAATTCCGGGTTATACTTGACGCCTAACAAAGGCAAAGCTTTCCTCCATGATTGGTAGCGACCGCTTCCTTCACTGACCCTTGATAAGGCTCAGCTAGACATTGTTCAGAGATTCTACTACTTGTGCAGCTATATCGGTGACTGCGAACTATAAGATAGTATCACGAACCGTGTAACAAAAGCTCACGGTGTTTCTGCTGCCATTCGTCAGAGGTGTGGGCGTGACATCACTCAGTCTGAAGGGTAGGGGCTACAATGCGGCCATCCGTTCAATCACTCTGTGCGCTTGTTAGACCTAACGCATCAAATGAACAGACGTAGAGAGATTTATCTGTTCAACTACCAGTGCTTTCACTTCTTAGCTCACTTTTGTTGAGAACACCGCGTGAGCAATGTGCATGTTTTTTGTCCCCTGTTTTGTGCAGGAAAAGGAACTGAACTACTCGGCAGCATTATTACACTCATCAGGTTCCGTTGGATAGGCCACGTGTTGCGCATGCCAGCACACCGACTGCCGTGGCGTGCGTAGTTTGCGCGACCCGGGTCTGGTTGAAAGAAGAGATAGGGAGGCCAACCGATGACCTGCTAAATTGAAACGACGGCCCGCACTTCGCAGCTGGCCTCGTGTGATGCCTCCCGGCTCATCGGTTGGGGTCATAAAGACGATGAATGTTACGGAGCAAGCCTACAGTCAGCGATCAAGCTCCAGTAGAAGGGACTGCAACCGCTCAAATGAAATGGCCATGATTGTTCAACACCTTTCGTCGCCAGAAATATGTTGTGGTTGCCGCTGACTGTACGGTTAACCTGCTGCTACCGTGCACCTGACAGTTGCCAGAAATGTGTCATGCTATCCGTTGACTTTACGGATAACCAGCCTGAATCTACTCTATCGCCCCCAACCAGTCCGACCTGCCACGAAATGAGAACACTAAGACCAGTCGGTCCGAGGGATCCGGATTCTGATTCTTGGCCCCACCTGTAGGCGCAAGCGTCCTTTGGCTGGCCACAGTGACAGGCAAATCCGAAACCGGATGCCACCAACCATGTAAGGGTTAGTAATCATGTTGAGTGAATTTGTCACTGTTGTGCTGTATTTGTGGTTGTGTTCGGTGAATTCGCCAACATAGGAAGGGTTCAAATTATATCTTCGTATTGGCTGACGTCCGTGAGTGGGGTGAGATCCTCCGGAAAGGCAAGAGACAGTGACTTTATTTAGTGGCGAGTCATCTCCGCCACGTCATAGTGTTGTTAAACAGATGTGTGGCTTTTTATAAGGTGAACGCTTGCCATGCGGGAATCCACCACGTTCTGGATGTATGCATGTAATCTCAGAAGTCTAGCAACTAGACAAAGAGCCAACATAAAACCATGGAGATTAGCGTATAAGGGGAAGTCATCGCGTCATAATCATCGTGGCATAGTAGTTGTAGGTGAGCAACACACTTCAGCTATTATGCCGCCGGAAGAAAATAACATTTTGACAAAAAGTAGAACAAAACATTTTTAGTTTGTTTTTTACACGCCGATTTTGGTCCCTTTTGTCATTTTCAATGTCTCAAGTATTAAACATGTGAATCAGTACAATCCTGTACCCAATTCTTCCACTGATTCCGGTTGCGGGCCATGTCTTCAAGAGTGTCAAGTCATTGACACTCCTCTTTGCGTCCCCATCCTGGAAGACGTACTAATCCAACAGCGGCTAGATACGACTTCAACGATTTCATGTGCTATCGCCAGGTGGAAGACTGATACCAACGCGGTCGCCTTCAGCCAGGTTCTTGACGAGTGAAGAGAGCGCGACACAGTAGACGCTCAGGTGCCATGCATAGGACATGACCGAGCCATCTCAACTGGCGCAGCAAAACCAGTTTGTTGAAGGGAATACTCGCATTCCCCAAGATGCGACGTCGAATGTCATTACTATTTACTCGATTTTGTCACCAAACACGAGAAATCCTCCTTAAGCAACCATTATCGAAAGCAGAAAGACGACGCATGTCTTCCATACGTATCAGCCAGGACTCGCTCCTATACAACAACAGAGCGAGCAGATGCACTGTAAACGCGAGAATGATACGGCCCGACGACGTCACAAGTGCCTCAGATTGGCAAATGCTAATCGAGCTTTAGCGATGCGAAGAGAAATTTATTTGCTGATAGTGCCGTCAGCAAAAACACAACCCCCATGGTAGACGAAACTATCTATCTGTTCAAGTTGTGCACCTTCGAGAGTGAGCACGGGAGCAGGTGGAAGCCAATCCTTGAGCAGTACTTTACACTTCGATGGGGCGAAGCTCATGCCATACTTAGATGCTTCAATCGCCAAACGATCCAGAATGAGTTGCATACCCTGAAGATCGTCACCAAGCAAGGCGATATCATCAGCATAATCTAAGTCGGTCGCGCGTTCACCCGGTAGCAGCTCTAGGCAAAAATGTTGGAAACCGTCTAGAGGATTCGACAGAACGTCTTCGATTGCGAAATTGAAGAGGAATAAGTACATAGGGCAGCTCCGTCGCACACCGCTATTGACTGCGAATTGCGAGGAAAGCTCGCCATAGACCCTCACTCTGTCGGATATATGAAGGTAAACTGCTCGTAAGATTGCGGTATGTTTCTCTGGCACCCCATTCTTTAGCAACAACGCAATAAAGCAGGTCGATTGACGGAGTCAAAAGCGGCATGTATGTCTAGGAATGCAGCCATAGTGGGTTTGTGATAAATGTGTTGATGTTCGAGGAGCTGGCGGAGCGTGAAGATTTGATCCACGCATCCGCTGCCCGGACGGAAACCAGCTTGTTCTTCAAGGTGGGATGATTTACATATTGAGGATAGTCTGCGAAGCAGTATGGATGCCAATGGCTTGGACGCAACCGAAATAAGACTAATCCCGTGATGATTTACATATGAATTGCGAGCGCCTTTTTTGGAAATCGGGACAATAACTGATTCGCCCCAAGAGGAAGGCACTTTCTCTTCATGCCAGCTTTTTGCGAACAGCGCCGTACTTGAACAGCTCTGGAGGAAGTCCGTCTGAGCCGGCAGCCTTGAACCACTTCAAGCGTTGAATCTGGAGGCAGACTTTCGCTTCGCTGGGTGGATTCAGTGAGACGAGCCATGGTGGACAACAAGGTGTACTGCATGTACTGCTGGATGGTGGAGGTCAGTTGAACTGCGAGTGAAAGTGCTCGACCCAGTGGTCCATACGCCTCTGTTGGTTGGCGATCGGAGATTCATGCACCTCACAAATAACCTCACTGACTCCAAGCTTTCTGAGGCCAGTGGACCGAATGAGTTGGAAAAGCCTGCGAGTGTTGCCAGAGGAAGCAGCGGTCTCCATCTCTAAAGCACGCTCAGACCACCATGTCTCGCGATCCTTACGTAGACTTTGCTTGAGCAGCCGGTTGGCAGAACGGCGCCGCTCTTTGCAATCTGATTCCGCGGGGATATCTTTGCGGCGTTCGAACAGCTCCAGAGAACGAGCAGAGATCCAGGTCTTTACGGGGCGTCGAGCTAAGCCGCAGCTTTACTGTCCGGAATTGGCCATCGCTTTCCGTATACAACTCCAGTGTTGCTCCGCGTCTTGTGGTAGATTGCAACTGAGCGCATATACCAGTGAAGACTGATAGCTCGCCTAGACAGCGGAATCAGTTGATCTGTTTACCTCAATGTTGCTGTGCTTCATGTTTCGGGGCCCCCAAAACACATACAGATTTTCGCGTAGACCAGGGCATGATCTGAGTCAACAAAGGTGGACAAAAAGGACCTGCAGTCCAGTACGCTGCCAATCCATCTGAAGCTAATTGCAATGTGATCAATTTGAGACCACGGTTGTGTTGAATGAGGGGGACGCCACGTTGCGGAACTCTTCTTCGTACGCCTGAAGTTACTGCTCGAGAGAGATGGTTGTCTTCGCACAATGTAAGAAGCCTCTCTCCGTTATCAGAGCGGTTCTCCTCGAGCGCGTGGGGACCAAAAAGGTGGCGTTCGTATGGTAACAGGCGGCCAACCCGTGCATTAAAATCCCAGCAAGGACAACGACATCTGACATTTTAGTATTAGTCAAAAGCTGATGTAGATCCCGGTAGAATTCCTCCTTGACCGAGCCGCCACTGCAGTCAGTTGAAGCGTACACGAAGATCACAAACAAGTTGCCTCTCTCTTCGCGGTGCTTGTTGATTCTACATGAACCCCGAAGCCGAACTGCACATATTCGGCTGTTAATCGGGCACCAGTCCAGTAGTGCTGCCTCGGGCTTACCACTTAGTGCTATACCTACACCAGCCAAATCCGCTGAGGCTACTTCAGGATCTCCACAAAGACGCAGGTGATATCTGCTACGTGGTCACTGGGGATGTCAGTGTAAGCACAGTGCTGGGACTTTGCAACCGGGTTTCTGTAAGGTAGCAGACATCAATGTCGAGGGACTCTAGGGTGCGCGCTAGACCGGCTTGCTGCCCAATGTACATGAGTGTCTGAACGTTGAAGCACGCAAGAGGGAACGAGGATCGAGAACGAAGGAGAGCCATAGGTTGAACTCCGTGGTTCGCGACGCAACCGAAATCACAGCCAGATTGTTGAACATGAATCGGGTAACGGAAATTAAGAATTGTTAGCAAATCATTGGCGTGTGATGAAGTCGCGTGAATGTAAGAAGCAGAAACGGTAGCTAATGAGCACGTTGTAGTACAGTCCTGGAACACTGCCGCAGAACCATTTGCTTTAACAGGACTAACCCGGACTACCCAGCTGGCACTACGTGGAGGTTGTTCGGCTAGCCAGCATCCTTTTTATTGAGGTTCGCCTGATATTTATTCTGATTGCTTTGAATGATCGGTTTTCTATCAATCTACCCAAGTGGCCTTTTTTCTGCACTGACGTCCCCTTTTATTTGAAAACCCCTTTCGCTTTTTTTGTATAGCCACGTTGAGAAAGCGGCCACGATTTTCGCGATGCACCTCGATCAAGCAACCACCTGTGTTGGATGTTGCTGTAAGTCTTTTCACCTGCATGTTCAAGCATGCATTTCGCTTCATATTCAAATATTGCCCCTTTACATGCGCAAATACAATGCATTCCATCTTATGCTGAACATAAGTCACTGATAAACGGTCAAATTGCTTATCGTTGTTGACTGCAGTCACCTGGAGTGCAAACTGGGCATTTTCGCGCCCTTCTTGAACAGCATGTGGCTGATTGTAATCGCCAATTAGAAATTCTCGCTGCATCAACAAGCAGCCGCACTTGGGTATGAATGCTTGTCATTACTTGTATCTCTATGCGCTTTCATACGGCGATCAGACTGTTGACGTTGCTGCTGCTTCTGATTTAATGCCTCTGTTTGTTATCTACTTTCGTTAAAAGTGAGATTTCTCTCGATACATCTGTGGGTTTTTACGTTACGTTTTTAACGGTATGTTATTGGGAGAAGCTGAAGATTGTTGCTTCAAATTATAAACTGCAAATTCTACTCGGAAACGTTTCGTTTATTTTGAACACCTCCAGTTTAGCCGATGTCGCAAGTTCCTCAAAGATGTACTTTTTTAGTTGAAAATATCCTTTATTCATGCGTCAAATATCCATTTGTACAGGAGTTTCTTTTCGGCAACTCACTCTAGCCTCACATTGTTGATTGGAAGTAATAGCTATTTCTATCTTATCCTAAATACGATGAGTCACGTTTACCCAAGGCAATAAAACACCTTACTAGCTAGTAAGGGGGGACTTTTTAACAGCCTGATATGGTCCCTTGATCTAACACTAATTCGCGAAAATAAAGGGTGGACTTTTGTCGAACTGTCTCAAATTTGTGTTTGGAATGCCCCAACTCATTTGTTACATCGTTTCCCTCCCCGCACAACGGCTGATTCACTGCGTTTGTTTTAATGGATGCTATCGCCTTTCGCTATCAAAAGTGCATGTTTGGGACAGTGGGTCAGACCACAGCAGTCTATGGCCTTTTAAATCTTGTTGATGCAGGCAAATGAGCAGGAGGACAACTGATTATTACATGGCCATAGTAGAAGAACGTCCTGCGCGAACACTTTTTGTTTGTGCTGTTATGGGTGCTGTGGTTTTAATTGTTACCGATAGGTGCCTTTTGAGCTCTCTTGAGTCTCGTTTTGATGCGGCGTTTAACACCTTACATAGTTCCTTCGTGTGGATATGATGTTTGGCAACAATCAAGTCCTCCAATATGGGCCTGCATACTTTATTGGCAGTACCGTGTTACAGTGCGGTAAGGCATTACGCTGTTAATGGCAACTGTCGATGTCTGCTAATTTCAGTCGACACTTTATTCGCACTTGTACACGTCTGATGAGATTTGCTGGAAGGAAATTTCTTTGCAATCGGGTTTTATCACTCGTTTGTCTTCTGTTAGTCTGACAGATGTTAGTGGACGTATTTGGACGCTCATTGGTAATAGCCCCCCATGGTAGTCCTCGTCATAAATGTTCCTGGGGCAACAGATGCATGCAATGGACCGTCGCATTTGGCACTTGTCATATTTTTTGTTTCGCCACTCCTGTCCGCCAAGCTGCGCCGCCCATGCCCACAGTCTCATTTCTACGATATCAGCACATTATTTTAATACCCATGGCTCGGCCGGTGGCCGAGTGGTCGGCACGTTTGCTTTCCAACCATAAGGTCACCGATTCGAATCCGCGTAGGGGTGGGCGTCCTCGCGGTATACTCAGTCCGCGCGCGACTGGTGGTGGTCGCGCGGCAGCGAAGCGCCGTTACGGCGTATAAACTGACACATTTTATACAAGGACACTTTACATGGCGCTGCTCGTTCTTTCTAAGCTGTTAGAGGACCGAAACGAGTTATCTGGAAATATGAGGCAGCTGAATGTTTGGTGTTGATGCAGCTCACCACAGTGCAATCCGCGACAGGCTGTGTACACTCGCCTGGTAGAGATAGCAGAATTGCGCCTCGAGACTTGCACGTCCGGGCATCAACCAAATCGTCTGACATTAAGCCAGCGATCTGCGGCGTGCAACGCTTCTCACAACTGTTTGTGACTCATTGAGAGTTAATCTTGAAGCACTTGTTGTGTAACTGGATTGCGACACACAATCTCTACCGGGGCCGCGCTTCACTTTGAACTAGATGTTTTGTGTACTATGCTCTCAACACCGCTTGCAGGACTCGAGATCTGTGCTGGCTTTGCTATCATCTTCAGGTGACACTAACAGTGCTTTCTTATTCCGCCTATTCGGAGACGATACAGCTCCGTGTGCCGGCCAAGCTGATGTACGTATTGCCCTGCGTCCCTGGGCTGAGGCTGCTCTGGTTTATTGGATCCCACTCAGTAGCCGGATGTTAGCCGCCCGACTGGCTGGTTCGTTCAACGCTTCGAAGTCGCGCGGGACTAATACGTCTGTTCGTCGTCGCTGCCTACGCGCCCACAAACTGTAGCGATGACTCGGTGAAGGACGACTTCTATCGTCAACTGAACGAGTTCTTTCACCACATAAAGAGCACGGACACTGTAGTGCTGGCTGGGGATCTGCACGTTCAACTTGGGGAATTGTCCACTGGTAAACTGCATCTGGGCGGCTAGCATCGTATAGGCTTCCGTAATTATAACGGTGAGTGGTTACTTCATTTGTGTGAAGATACTCGCATATTTCTTGCGAGCACTAATTTCTGACACAGCACTCGCCGGAGGGTGACTTGGCGCCCATCAGCCTCGAACCAGCTATGGACGCAAATCAATCACATTGCGATCACTTACCACCAGAGGGGCTGCGTCCAGAACTGTCGCTCAATTTGGAGCACATGTGTAGACACCGACCATGCACTTGTGTGTGCTGGTCTGCGGATCCGTTTTGGCAGACTCCCACGACAAGGTTGTGAGCCCATTGACATCAGCCAACTGGCGAAGCCAGCTGTTCTGAATGTCTATCGGAGTACGCTGACATCCGGGCTGAGTAAGCGCTCACTGGATACAATTGAAAGTCATTGGTCTCATGTTCAACAGACTTTGCTAGCAGCAGGCGAATCTTCATGTGGTAAGTCTAATCGCCAACATGGAAATTGGGTCTTTTCACAGGTTCTGGGACTTATCAATACTCGCCGGTACATTCCAGCTGGGAGCAAACACGAGACGTCGGGTCAAAACTGCGTGCTAACCTGAAGGGAGACTGCAAATCCTGGTGGTCTCATCGTGCGTCAGAGATGGAAGTCGCCACTGCCCTTGGTAACCATCTGAAGTTATTCCGTTTGATACAGGAAACGAACAGCAGGTGCCCTGGTGTTGGTGAAACTATATGTGACGAGAGTGGACAGCCTATCCACAACTTGTGAAAACGCTTGGAACCTTGAGTTGAGCACTTTGAGACGCAACTTAATCGGCCGGAATTGTCTGATTTCTCCCCGGCCAATGATCGCTCTGCTCCATGGGCTCTCTTTGGATCCGCTTTCTCTCTCAGCAGTCGTATGTGAAATCGGACTATTGAAGTTAAACAAGGCCACGGGACCGGTTGATCTTTCTACAGCCCTCTTCAAATTTGGGAACCTGCTCCCGATGATGATTTACACGAGGTACTAATGAAACTGTGGGAGGAGAAAACTGTTCCACCCGACTAGAGCCACCCTGTCATAGTCCTAATTTTCAGGAGCGCATTCCCGGAATATGTTTCGAACCGACTGGAATTTCATGATTTCAGAAGGTTTGAATACAAATCGGTTTTTGGTAGGGTTTTATTGTGTCAAGGGCGAAACGTTGCCACAATAAAACCCTACCAAAAACCGATTTGTATTCAAACCTTCTGAAATCAGGAGAGCATTCCTTTCGGAATGTGGCGATTATAGAATAATCAGTCTGATGGCCATCACCTCCAAATTGCTTGCCTCTATCATTCTTCACAGACTGATTGGAATCCGTTAAAGCCAGATCCTCGAGTAACAAGCTGGGTTCCGTCTAGGTCGTGGCTGCATTGACCATACTTTCACTTTGCGTCAGTTGTTGGTGCACCGTCACATAACTTGGCGGCCCGTCGTTGTCGTGTCCCACAACATCAAAAGTACCTTTCATTCTTTAATTCGATGTACCCTTTGGGACTGTCCATTCAGGAAAGCTGGGTCTGAGAAACAAGTAAACATCCCCCGAGCACTTTACGAGCGTAGTTCGGGCAGTGTGAGGGTTTACGGCAACCTCTAGCCGCCCTTCAATAGATCTGGCGGTGTAACACAAGGATGCCCACTGTCAGCTTTCCTCTTCAACTTTGCTGTTGACGAAGTCATGGAAATTGCCTTCCCTGGATGCGACTTAAGCGTGGAGCTGCTCCTAGATGATCGACTTTTTGACTTCAATTCAAAAAAATGCTTTATGCACCCATAAGGATGAATATTCATCTGTTACACACACGCTTTCAGCATAATAAAAGAAAAAAAGCAGTAAATACACAAGTAGAGTAATAAGTGGCATAAACAGCAGTATGCTTATGACGCAAAGTTGTTTTTAAGCTCCAGGACAACTGATGTCTGGTCGCTCAAAAACGGACCAGATATGGAATAACGGATGAGTGATAAGCCCTTGTGCAGGCAATAATGGGTCTATACTTTTTTCTGGTTGAGGATGTTGATACACACACAGACAGTGCGCTATGCAGAGGGTGACTTGTATCAGTAAGTCTTCCGGTAGCAAGCCTTATGTATGAATTAATGTGAATGGACACAAGAACCTCAACAAAGGTGGTTGGGAATTACACTACACGGAGAAAATTGCGTCAGTGACCTATCTAGGATTTTAAAATACTTGCTTAGAAAACCAAGAAATATCACAATGGAGCAGTGGGTCCAATGGGGAAAGACACATGCGGTGATATATCTCACAAGTAAGTGGCGAGGGATAGAGGAGGATCGCAAACGAAGTGTGTAGTACTAAAGCCTCATAACTTTTGTAAAAATATCTTTGACATGGAGTGACCAGATAAGGACTAAGTGTTACTCTTAGGTACTTTACTGACAATCTGGAGTGCAA